TGCCTCCGAATCATCCCGATTTGGCTACTTCCTACAACAACATCGGTCTTGCATATAATAAGATGGGTAACTACTCGAAAGCACTTGAATTTTACGACAAATCACTTAAAATCTACGAAAAATCTCTGCCTCCGAATCATCCCGATTTGGCTACTTCCTACAACAACATCGGTGGAGTGTATTACGGCAAAGGTGACTACCCAAAAGCGCTTTCATATCTAGAAAAGACACTTGCCATCCTCAAAGAATCACTCCCGCCAACACATCCTAATATTAAAGCAGCGATGAATAATATTGACAGTGTGAAAAAGAAAATGTAAACGTGTTGTTTTTTCTTGCTTGCTGAATAAATTGATTTTGATTGCAATTCACCTAACTTCCTAGATTTTCTCGGCTCATTTTCGCGTACACGCCGGACTGGTAGGGCCTGATCATAGGTGTGACGTACGTAAACGGCGACAGGGACCTACGAACAGACGGCCTTCCCTAGTACTCCACTGCTTTCGCCAACATAGGCACAAGAGATCTCCCTGGGTCAGATTACGAAGCCATCTGACGGGCTGTGATATAAGTTAATACCTCACTCTACTACTACAACAAAGAAAAACAAAAAATATTCCATCTGGAATAGATTACATGTCTACCTTATCAAAAAAATAACTTGAAAAGTTCTATTGGCCATTAGGACTTTTCAATTTATTTATATTTATTCGCATCTCAATAAGCAAAAAAAAAGAGACTAAATTTAGTTAGTAACTGTCTTATCTCTCTATTCTCCTTCTATATAAAAAAAAACTATAGCAACATACTCGATTTGAGAATGGAATACATAAATCATTATGTAAGTTAATAATTAATGTTAACATTCAAATTTGGAACATTGTAAATAATGATACGGTACCGTATGATTGTATAAATTTCATTATCATAATTATGTTTCAATAGAATGATTTCATACAAGAAAATCATTCCTTATATATGTTTGAGACATGAACTTTTAGTCAATGATGATCATTGTTGAATAATTAATCAATGACGTTACACTGTCTTTTTTTTCCACCAATTAAAAGATTGATGATCGAAATCGAAAAGAAAACAATTCATTCTCATGAACTCAATAATTGATGAAATGATCATTGTCATCTTTGTTTTCGTCGACGATCAATTCATCATATGTGTACTTATCCTCTTTACATTATAGACCAGCACTCAAATAGATGATTGACAAATCATCTATTTCAAAATACAACGTGATACAATGTCATCATTATTGAAAAAACAGTTTTTTATTTAAAATATTCTACATTGAATAAAAATTGATCTACAACATTTAAAAAATTTGTTCGTATTCAATCAAAAGTAAGAAAGAAAAAGAATCATTGATGAACTAGATGATTCTAGTTTTTCGTGTCAAAACAGGGATAAATAAGTAAATTAAAATGAAAAAAAAAATAGAATAGAAATAATATATTCATAAGACTTTTATATAATAATCGAATAGAACGGAATTATTTTATTTTATTTTATTTTTTTACTAAATCATCTAGTAAATTATATTAAAATTAATTTAATTTCTACAATACTAGAGCTTTCAACAGATACCAAAAGTCATCACCATTAAGATTGTGTTGCTATTGAGCTCATCAAGTATTCATAGGACTCTTTTCTATCAGGTTTATAGTAACAAAATTATATTGAGTTTACTACAATCTGTTAAATGATTTACTACAAGATAAAATAAAATTGTTTCATTTTATTCTATTATGAAAAAAAAGAATCGAACATATAAATTTGTTATAATCAATACAATATATTTAAGAGTTGAATATATTCGACTTGGCGTGCTGCCAGCTCCATCACAGAGAGAAATAGAAGCGAGTTTGTGTCGCTCTACACAAAAACATGCAAATGTCTGTCAAATAATGCGAACGTTAGACAAAGGTTTTAGGAAAGAATAAAATTTAAACCAATTACTTATTTTGATAGAGCATTGAATGCTATAAAAAGTGAACTATTTGCACTCTGTTTTCTTGTTTCAATATAGTCAAGAGATTTCTTTTTCTTTCGACAGATCAGCAAAAGCATACCATTTTGTTTTTAAAATGTATCTTTCTTATAGCAGCGATCGTACAAGCTAATGGACTGGAATTTGTTTTGTGTATAAGACACTTAGAGTAAAGTAAAAATTGAAAAAACTAACTGAGCCATTGAACAAAAAGGAAAGTTATTACACCCATAGATGTAAAATCCCAATTGTACTAAATAGTGGAAATTCATTCATATAAGCATATTATTTAGTTTTGAAAAATAAATATAGATGAAATTTTTACATTATTCAAATAAATATCAAGGAAACATTTGTATTTATAAAGCAAAAAATGAAGACAATTTGTATAATAATGATAAATGAATTCTTGATTCAACAAAACTACCATGAAAAAGTTAAAACGAAAATTTTTTCCGTATCCAGATCGAGAAGTACGGGCAGGTAGTGGTACTTTCCAGTAGGATACGATAAGTTTTCCTGCATCTCTTCTGAATATTATTGAAGATGTATCGATTATCGTTCTCTTTTTTCAAGTTTCGATCATAATACATGTTGATTCTGTGTGAATAAGACTGATTTTTAAATATGTTTTACAGTAGAAAATTAATTTATGTAAAAGTAAGAGACAATCTTTTCGAAAGTAAAAATTAAACTTGTTTAAAATAACCTTGAAATATTGATAAAAATAAATAATTAAAAGAAAAAATTCTAAATAAAAATGTCAAGAAAGACACGGCAGACTTTTGAACTAGAAGTTACTTTGACGTACGTTTCTACTCCAAGTCTGCTGTTTACCCCTTGAAAAATGTTTAAAAAGTGAAATATTCAATTAACATATTGATCTATGAAAAAGAAACAATTCGACAAGAAGAATATTTAAATTATTGATTGAGTCTAAACATGTTCAATGATGATCATATCTTATAATCATGACAAATTTTATCATTAAAAGAACAATTATTATTGATGATTTAAATTTTAAAAAAAACTGAATCGTTTGTTTCATTTGATTATAAACAGTAGAAATGTATTGATTTATATATATATATATATGTATAGAAGAGAATCGATCAAATAGAAGAAAAAAAAACGAAACGAAATGAAATGAAAAGAAAAGATAATAATTAATGAAATTAGTTTAAATAAGTCACTGATAATAATAAAATAAGCACCGGATGATAATAGACTAGAAATCAGTTGTATCCCAGGTGAAGGTAATGTGCTATTCCTAAAAGAAGATATTCGATTAGTATTTAATTTTCCAACATTAACACCATCATTTGTCGTTGATGTTGAATCTGTTGACAAATCTGTTGTTGATTCATGTTCAATTGTTTTATCTTCAATTGTCGTCGAAAATTTTTGTTCATTATTTGTTTTTAATAATGGAAAGGTAAGTTTTTGTCGTGGTTGAACTGTTGGTGAAGTTGAAATAAGAAGTGCTGGTGCTCCAGGACGATCTAATTGTGTGCCTTCGCTTGGTGTACGTCAATGAATTTTATCATTCGGACTAAAACTTGATGAACTTCTTACTAAAATAATATAATTTTATTTAATTATTTTCAAAATGATTATTTTCAAGTTTAATTAACGATCGAAAGAGCAATGTTGATTATTTATATTTATTTAAACAATGAACGAAGAAAGCAAAGAATATACTGATTTAACGAACAGTTATTTATATATATATGGCAATAAAAGCGAGCATAAAAAGAAACAGAACCTCTTGCAAATTTTTTTCATAATTTCTTGATCCGATTAGATTCGGAAGACGATTCTTGATATAAGTATTTGTTTTATTTGTTTATCTTATTTAAATTAAAATCAGATGAAATATTTTCATAATTAACTTGTTCAACTGATGTTTGTTGATTAATTGAAGATGATGTTGGTGGACGAGGTGCTTTATTTTTTCGATGTGTTCCAGGAGATCTAGATTTATTTTATTTTATTTTATTTGAATAGAATAAATAACATACGGTTGAGGATATCCTGGTGTACTTTGAATATCTAATAAATTTTCATTTGAAACACTTTGACTTTTCTATAAAAAAAAAATACGGAATGAAATTCAGTTGGAATAAGATAAGGTTGACATTTAAATGATTTCGACGTTTGTTCTTGTTGAGAAGAATTTGTAAATAATTGTTTATGATGAATAATCATAAGTTCAAGAATAGTTGAAGCAGCTGCATAAGAATTTGAAATCGATTGTTGGGATGATGATTGATCTTTACCATATAATATACTACATCCAATACAAATACCTAAAAATTTATATCAGGTAAATTATTTATTAATCGAGCTATTCGTTGTAGACGAGCTTGTTCACCACTAAAATTTAAATAGTTTTATTATTTTTTTTATATATTTATTTAAGAGAATAAATTAACATAATCTCAATAAAATTTATACAAACATATTTACTTTGCGAATGAGATATAGTAAACCAGAATTTCATAAAACTTTAAAGGAACTCAAGTCAATTTATTGATAGGCGACTATTCGATACCGATAGCTAAGCATGGTATATGTTACTGAACATTGTGCTTATTGATATTAGTCGAAAGTATTTGTAAAATATTTTTTCTCACATATGATTTTGTAGAGTTTATGACGAGTTAAAATCTTATATACGTAGTATTGTTTTACGAAAACATAATTTACTATATTTCATTCAATGTGCCTGAATAGATTACCTTGTCTGATGATAAGGATTAGAACCTTTGGTCATCTCTAAGTAAATATATATATAGAAAATGAAAATATATTCTTATCTACCTAATCTTCAATTTTCTAATCAGCCAATAATCCTATTGTTTAGGATTTATATAAGAAAAAAACAACGAATAAATAAAATTATTTTCAAAATACTTAACTATGATTGTATTATCAAAGAAGTTGGATAAGTAGAGATTTTTAAAACAAAATAAAATAAAAAAAAATTTTTTCTCTACTGAAAAAACTCAATATATATAAATCCTCGATCGAATCTATCATTCGTATTGAATTTCTCTACTAATGTCCGTTTCAAAATAGATTGCGTCCCACTGTTTTTTGAATAACTCAAGAACGCAATCAGCTAGAGACCTGCGGTTTTCACCAATCGAAAGAAGAGACGGGGGAGGGGAGGGCATCTTTTTCTTCAATATCGTAGCAGGCGGAATCATTTTGAAACCAGTCATTTCTGCATAACATCGAAAAAATGGTCTGCCATTCAGATGAAATTTTGACAAAAAGTAAAAAAATTTGCTTCAAAATCAAAAGAAATTCATAGTTTTCTTGCGAGTAAATAGACGATTTTATTTGCTAAACGTTAGGATGCGGTAAGATAATCATTCGAATTATATCCTGAAGTATAGATCCGAAGTCTCTCTATCTAGATCACATGTCAAAAGCAAAAATTTCTTCAGAATGCCGGGTCGTTTTCATGCATTTTTTGCAATGTTTTGCAGAAATGACTGATTCTAAAATGATTTTGTCGGATACAATATTAGAGAAAAAGACGTCCCCCTGTCTCTTCTTTCGATTGGTGAAAACCGCAGATCTCTAGCTGATTGCGTTCTTGAGTTATTCAAAAAACAGTGGGACGCATTATATTTTGAAACTGACATTAGATTCGAATATTTATTGAAAATATTTCTTAAAGATTGTGAAATATTTAAATATTAAAAAAAATGTATATATATAGCTGTCAACGTTCAAACTGAGATTACGTCCAATCTCAGATTGGCCTAGGCAAATGTCGGATTGACGTAATTCTATTCACTAAAATATCAATAACTATTTATCGTGAAAATTTTTTATTAAATTTTTTAGTCTAATTTTAACTTTTTCCTAAATGCTTGTAAAACTGGAAACGGCATTGTGCGAACATAATTTCAAAACATAGTTCGAATCCAACGTCTATCAAAAAAGTTATTGATATTTTAGTGAACAGAATTGCGTCGATCCAACATTGGACACGTCCAATCTCGGATCTGAGATTGGACGTAATCTCAGTTTGGACGCCGACAGCTATATATATCTCAACAAGATTGATAGATTTAAATCAGAGATGGACAAGCTCCGATCGCTTCAGAGCACTTTTCGGTCGGAGCACTAATGTATGTAACTGGAGCGGTGACAAGCAAAAGTTGCGGTCTACTGAGATCACTCGGAGCGGTAACAAACACAGGGCTGGAGTTCGACTTTGCTCCGATGGTTTTGACCGGAGCGAAAAAATTTTAGTACAGAAAATCTATCGCTCCGACCAGAACCCTCGGAGCAAAGTCGAATTCCAACCTGTGTTTGTCACCGCTTCAGTTACATACATTAGCGCTCCGACCGAAAAGTGCTCTGGAGCGGATGGAGCGATCGGAGCTTGCCCATCTCTGATTTAAATTGATTTCAATATAATCTTAACTATTTCAATTTTCAAATGTTTCTTTATTTATTTTTAAATATAATATATGAATTAAACGAAATTTTTGTTGAGATAGATTGATTAATATCAATTATATTCAAAAAAAAAACTAAATCAATATATCTTTTATTTTTCTCAATATAAATTAAAATGTATCTTGTCATTTTTCTCTTAAAAGAAAAAAGATAAAAACCTGATTGAAATAACATCATTCCATTGTGATAAAAGTGCATTTGTAAG